ATATTAGTTGTAGGAAAGATATCGAGTTAATGAGTCTGCCAATAGGTAACACTCTATACCACAATGTAGCCAAAAGGCAGGAGTATTCTTCTTTTCGTCCTTCCTACAACCAGAAATGAAAATTTTTCGAGGAGCTCAGTTCCTATAAAAAATATCCTCTTGAACAGTCTTTCAGATTGGAACCATCCGTCTTACATTCATCCTTAATTGTTTTAAATAGTTTGAGCTAACTTTGTGAAACTTAAATAAATGATTGTATAGACAATGGTTAAATTTGTATTATTATCCCTTTCATCGATTCTTCTTCGATCTTATAGTACTTTATTAGTATACATAATTCATTTTAATTTTAAAGATTACAGTTTAAAATCGTTTCAAAACTATTTCATCGCATAAAAATTACGTAATCATGTCATTTATTGTAGTTTTACTGAAATAAAAATGAATTTTCTCTAAAATATGAATATCTGTAAAAAAAAAATCCTTTTTATTTAAGTACCAATGGTCGGAATTCTGCTCGTTCCAAATGTTTTAAATGTCGTTGGTGATTTGCATTTGATAAACGTTCAAAAGCTGTTTGTAATATTTGTATTGCATCTCCATGACTAACAAGAAAAATTATTTGACCTTCATATTTTTCTTCAAGTTCTTTAATTAAAGATGTTGTTCGTTCTTGAACACTTTCAGTTGGTTCAACCTTATCATTAAGATTTTTCATTGGATTATCTTCATCATTTTTCCATATAATATTATAATTTTCATCACTTGTACCATCATATATACCAAAGAAACGTTCACGTAAACGTTTATCTAATTGAACAGTTGGCTTATCATCATTTAAATTTGAAAGATTTAAAGCAAGAATATCCGCTGTTTCACGTGCACGACGAAAATCACTTGCAATAATTATATAAGATTTATTCGAAGGATTATTTTGAAGAAATAATTTTGTATTTTCAATAACTTGTAATCGACCATATGGCGAAAGTCCATGAGATTCAATACCTATTTGTGGATCACTACTAATAAGATGTGCTACATTAGCTTCAGATTCACCATGACGTACACCAAAATATTTATTACGAAGATTGACAATATCAGATAGATGATTGATAAATGTCATTTTAACAGATAAAAATAATTTTAGATGATTACGTCACAAACAGTATTTTCAACAGAAATCTAAAACAAAATATTAATTTTTTTACTAGCAATATGTATGTTTAAACTTTCTTTTCGCCAGCAAAATCTAAAAAAACAAGGCATGTTACTATTTTTTCTTTAATAACAAAAATAAATTAATACTGAGCAAACTAATAAACGGTAAATACTCGAATTAA